TTTGCCTTAAGGCTAAGATGAAGGTAAATTATAAAAAGTAGATGCATTAACAATTTTTCAAGGACCAGGGTAGGGCGGATTAGAAATACGTGTACATGTCTAATAGATGGAATACGATCTGGCCATACGGTCCATTCATTTGAAAGGAAATGTAGATTTAAATCCTACTGATGACTCAACCTTCATATTTCAAGCAAACCAGTTTCCTTGTCTATAAAATACTAGGCAGTACCTTGAGTTATTAAACCCAGAAGAGCTTTTAGTTCAGTTTTCTAAATCTAGTTTGCTGCCCCAAATTTCTGCCCTTTGTTTCCTTTTTGCAACTTTCTCAGCCAGGACAGTGGAACAAGCCGAGCATAGTTTCCCGTTTCATAGGTTCATGATTTCACCGAGTGACTGAAGCCAGTTTTCCTCACTGGCAAACACTCTTTGGAGAACCTTTATTTAAAAAAAATAAGGGGTGAGGCAGAATAAAATAACTATTTCCCTGAACATTTCCTAAAACATTTATTTCACAGGAATTTTGGGGGGGGGCATTTGGGTAGCATAAAAATTTACCCCCCCCCCCCAAATGTAGATAAAACAGGTGTTTCCAGTGATGTGATCTGAGGAAGGGCACTTTGTGCCCAAAAGCTGGTTTAAATCTCTCCCACCTATGCGCTGGTCCAATAAAAGATATCGCCTGCAAATATCATTGCCTCTCACTCATTTGCTGGGCCATGATAGCTAGAACATCCCTCCAACGCTATCAGAAAAACCAGGGCCATGTCTGGAGCTGAAAAATCAAGTCCCTTTAGATCTTGCTTTGTTCTCATGATAGAATTAACTAATTCGGTGGTGTAGGCACAACACCTAGGGGTGTACAATTCAGCATGCAGCCTGGTGTGGTAGATTATTAGGATGAGCCTGGCCCTGCATTGCACATTTAGGCAAACATCCTGTGCACTTGAGTAATACATTTGGGATGTATTTATGGCCCCTTGGGAAGCAAAAATAGTCCGGGCTTGATGCAGATGGAACGTCTGCTGCAGCAGAACAATCCCACCAGAAACCAGTGCTGTCCCGGAGATGACTGTCAGTTGGCCATGAAAAGAAAGGAAAGGTTTAAGGAAAAGCTCAGAAAGTTTCCTCTTAGAAAACTATGGCCTAGAGTGGCGACATGGGCAGGAACTCAACTGGGGCCTTCTGGGGTCTGTATATCACAGAGCAAATCCTCCCTAAAGTTTCATTGCCCCGCAGTGCTAAATCTGGACCAGCGATTCCATCGTGCACGCTCTGAGCAGCCTGATGACTGACACGGCGCTGCCCCCGCTCCTGGCCGTGGGAGGATCTGCAAAAAGCTCCTTCCCAGTCGGAGGCGTCGGTGGCTCAGATGTGGCGGGGTTTGCTTCACTCTCTAGTCTGCCTTCCTGGCTCAGCAGGGGGGTTGCGCATGTTTTTTGTGCTGAATGACGGGACCACAAGTCAGAGAGGGAAGAGACTGTGTTTGGGGTGGGGAAGGGGCTCTGTTTTTTCCATGCAAACATTTCAGTACAGAGGACTTAGTATTGGGTGGGGGCAGTGTATGTGGACAGCGTGGGCTGAGCAGAGGCTCATCAAACTCCATCTGCAGAGACCCACACATGCATCCTGAGTGGGGCTCCCCGTCACAGCATTGAGTTGCTACTGTGGATGCCCTGGTCACTGGAGGACACTGAGCTTTAGACATTCAACTCTGCCCCTTCCTAAGAGGAAGGAGCGCAGGTGCGATCTCCTGCACAGGGAGCACCATGTCCCTCTCATCGGTGACATGCGGCACCTGCTCAGCCTCACAGAACGGCTGCTGAAAGCAGACACCCGGGAAATGAAAGGATGCTGGTTCCATAGCTACCAACTCCACGCCGATAACTGAATGCCCAAGGGGCCGAGGACTCAGGGCAAGTCAACCCTGTGGTCCCATCCTGCTCCTGCCCTTGCCCAACCCACCCATCCACTCACTCCTGCCAAACCCAGACATGCAGTCAAGAAACCGCTCCAGGAGTGACCCTGCAGCCATCCCCAAGTCCTCCATGCTCCTGTGGATTTAAGAGTGACAGCAGAGGGACATCCCCATGGCTGGTTCATTATCATCACACTCCCAGGTTTGGGATGTGCAAGTGGCAGTGAGATGGGAGGGTGCATTCAGGAGCAGACAATGCCAGAAGCACCAGGGACTTTGATGCACCCTCAGAGTACCCTGGGGTTGAAGTATTTGGACTCCACTTGGCAGACCATCTTGGGGCATACAGACTTTGCCCTGGCAGCAGAGTGACTGTGCTTTGAAAGAGAGGGGCTAGAGCAGTGCAACGCATTAGCAAGTGACAGCCTCCAGGAGGAGAGGTTTGAATTCTGCCCAGGAGGAGCATGGTGGCTGGGGACATATCAAGTGAAGGGGCCAACGAAGAGCAATGTTATCCTCAACATAAAGAAGTGCAAACCTGGACAGCAAACATGTGGCATATCCACCTCGATGCTTGAAAGCAAAGTATTTTACACCCTCCCCACAACCACAGCAACTAGGCACCTTGTCATAGCCACCTGCAGCGCTGCATCCTCCCTTACACAGCCTGATCAAGGTCAGCATGATTCTGGGCTTGGGAGCAAACCTAACAATCCTGGATCCCAACCCAAACTTTCTTTGAGCTCTGAGATATTTGGACCCAGGGTTTCAGTTTGACCCCTTTTGTCTCCAATTTATCAAAGCACTTAACCACTTCCTATCTTTAGGAGCAAGAGGAATTGCAATGAAGTTGAAGGAAAAGCTCATCTGTTTAAGATTAAGCACAATCTTGAATGCTTTGTTTAACCAGGTCTGAGAGGCAGCTGAGGAAGGTCAGCTCTGAAATATGATCCAGTGCAAACCATCCTGCCAGTTTCGATGTGGCTGGATCCAAAGCTCTAGATCGGATTTATTTATAATTTGAGCAAATCAAGGAAACATTTACTTTTGGGTCATAAGATGCTGCAAAGCCAGAGAGCAGACTGAAAAGATCAGACCATCACTGACTCTCAGGTAAAGGCATAATAGGATCTGACACACAATCCACACAATTGTGCCTCCTGCCACGCCACACAGGCATGGCAGGAGGTGTGATTGCGGGATCCAGCATCAGATCCAATCACACCTTATTGCTGGTGCAGGAGGAGCCCAGGATCGCCATCCCAGGCTCCCCCTGCACTGCCACTCGACCCCAGTAGTACCCCACAGCTGCCAGGTTGGGAGTCCGGCCAGCTGCAGGGCCCTGCCAGGATGGAGAGTCCTCTTAGCTGTGGGACTCCCAGCCCCAGCTGTGCAAAGTGCACCCCTGCAGCTGGAAGACCTGTCAGCTGAAGGCGCTCCCAGTCCCAGGAAGAGACCCTGCTACATGTGCGAATTAAAGATGAATAAAAATCAGCTATAAAGTTACTGCACATTTTCCAGCTCTGACTTTATATTTGGATGGATTGTTTTAAGGTGTGATAGTTACTTTGCATGTGTAGCCAGTCTAAATTAATTGTACAGTTAATCAATTAATTACATAATATGCATAACTGTAGAGCGGGGTCTTACTGCCAGTATGTACAACACTGATACTAATGTACGTCCTTTGGTCTGAGTGCCAGCTACGAAGAGTTGGTGCTAAGCTTCTCTTTTGTGGGAAGAAAATGCTTTGGTCGTTTTTTCCAAGCTAGCTGCCTCCAGATAAATTGTCCTTTGACACTTTGGTTTTAATTTTAAAAGAAAAAAAATACTTTTAAAGAGCTTGGCAAATCATGCTCCTAAGGACAGAAGGCAACCGGAAAGGCGGGTTGGGGGGACTCTGAAAACAAATCAGATTCTCACTTGCTATGAGCGCATTACAGGGTTCTAGAAATATTCAAAAATGTTTAGTTTTGGAACTTGAGCTGGAGTTGGATTAAAACAATTCTTAATTTTTGTGAACTCTTTAAACACCAGATTGGTCAGGCAATGGTAGAGCTGTGAAAACCTGCGCATCTCTTTTCCCTGTTAGGTTATTTCATACTTAGTGCTTCATTAGGAAGATGCTCCAAAACTTACTCAGCTAATGCTGTGCTCGGATCCTAAATTTGTCAAGCCTTAGGAATGCAAGAAAGGTGTTTTGTTGCATGAATTATGAAAATTTTGTAGTGGCAAGTTACCACCCTCCCCCACCCCATCCAGTGCCCCTTGCTGAAATAAAACAGGTCATTTGAAATGAAGACTGCTGTCGGTGTCACAAGGCACAACAGGGGACATCGAGCATCTAACCAGTAGAAAATCGAACGGCACAGATGTCAGAGGACCGAGCTGTTCTAGTGACAGCTTTGGTGGCTTTATTTCAGGCTGAAAGCAGAAGAACAGAGATGACAGTCTAGCTCTGCCACGGGGAGCGTTCCCCGATAGATTGTGGGGAGAGAACAAAAAAGTATTTTACCAGTTTGCCTAGATCCTCCCTGTGCAGCAACGCAAGAGAAATCAAGCCCTGACAAACTCCCTGCCCGGCAAACAGGATGCAACAAAAGGTTTCACGTTTCCACGCTGGCTTGGTAAAATCCATTGTCAACGATTAAAAAAAAAAAAATCTCCAAAGCAAGCAAAAATACCTAACGCCTGTATTGCATTTGCTCTCCTACTTTAATGCCAAGTCATTCGAGACGGACGGATGGCAGCATGTGCTCCACAATTGCCCAAACCCTGCCCAGAGGGTCGTCTCACGGATTAAATAACATTTCGTGAGTCCTAAAGCCCAGCTCAGTTCTTTATCTCCTCCTCAAGAAACCTCCCGTTATAACTAGTTCTTGCAAGTGCTGCCCCGGGCGCTCCGGCTGGGGAGGGGAAGGCACGCTCTGCTGCTCCCGTCTGAAAGGGGGCCAGGCAGCTCCGCAATATTTTCCTAGCGACTGCCAGATGAGACATAAGGGCAGGCTAAACTAGTAGCAGCAGCCAGCAGCACCTTTCCTTGTGCCTCCGTAACACAACAGTAAATACCATGCTAACCAACCTGTCTGCCTGAAGAAGTCCACCTGCCCTCCTCGCGGTTTTCTCCACGCTGCCACCACCATCTCCATTCATGAGTCCATTTAAAGAGCTGCCTCCCCCCTCAGAAAAACTGCACAGAAAAGCTGAGCCCTGTCTCGTCTCACAGGCCGTCTGGCTGGCTCCTTTCGAGTCTCTCTGTGGTAATGAGTTCACGTTAGGCGGAGGAAAGCGGGAGGCAAGCCCTGGGTGGAGGGCAGATCAGTCCTGAATGCTACCCGCTCTGAACCGAGCAGCGAGAAGGAAATCACATGAAAGGCTCCACCGCCCCCAACACACACCGCAGGGAGCTTTGACAGATGCCGAACCCAGCTGTTCACCTACCCAGATGCATTTCATATCCCATCTGACTCTGAGCAAGTTTTCAGGCTGCATGCTTTAGCCCCTGAAGGGCCCTCGGATAGCGCAGCGAGGAGTGCAGCCTGCACGCCTATGGAGACAGAGCAGAGATCCTGGCTTCTTATCTTTAGCAGGAGAAACTGGCTGGCAGGATCTTTCAAACAAGTTTAAAAAAATCATTTCCCACAGTAGCGATCCCACCTACGTCAGGTTCCAGCAATGCTACAGCTGATTATACGGGAGCGCGACTGCTGAAATGCTCACCACGCCGCTTTCGGATTGCACCAAGGAAGGGTTTCACTGCATCAGTAATCAATTGAATTGGCAGCCTCCTACAGGCACTCAGGTTTGCACACAAGTTCACGCATAATCGTGGGCACAATCACAGCAATTATTGATCCACTAAGCTGCTGTTTTGCCATCAGTCTAGCAGCAGGTCCATAGACAAGGTCTCTGGTTAGTGCTGTTCTAGCTGAAGGATGCTCTGTTCACCATGTGAGGTAGAGGAAGCCGTGACTGTAGCTGGAAAACAGACTATGGTTGTTAATCCCTGGCTCACTACACCTCCTCCATCAGGAGATCTCAAGGCACTTCACAAGGGAGGTCTGGATCACTATCCCCCATCTCATGGAGGGAAAACTTGAAACGCAGGAAGATGAGATAACCTTGCCCACTGTCACAGGAGCAGAACCCCGGTTTCCAACATCCTGGCTAGCACTGGGAGAAATGCTACATTGCTTTCCATTGCCCTTAATTTTTTCCTCTACATGTGTGCCAAAGAGATGGAGCTAAATGGGTCATATTAATCAGCCTCCATATAGGTACAATACTACCCTCTACTGTTTAGCACAAATGCATGAGTTACAAATGCATTTAGCACTTAAATGGACTACTTGTGCTAAAAGGGGCCTCCCTGTGCTCAATGAGTAAGTAGGAGGCATGGGCCACAATAAGGCAGCAATACTATTTGCATATAGTTAATTAACTGATGACTTTATGTGCAAAATATGCATTTATAATGGCTAGGTCAGTCTCCTAAGGAACCTCAAATGCCCAAGCTGAGGTCAAGTATGAAAGGGGAAAAATATATTTTGTGCATCTACTACCCCCCCCTACTAGACAGACTATATAACAGTTCAGCTGGTGCCTGGTCGTGGCTTTCACTAGTAGAGGTGCATTGTATACAGAGATTCACTTGGTTAAATGGTTCGACTGTGGGTGCAACATGCATGCAATTGTTTGACAAATACATCAAGTCATAGCTCAGCATGCAAGAGCATTTCCCCAACACCATCATAGCCTCATCTCTAATTAGCAATATAGTGGCAGGTCTAGCTGAAGATCTGGAGGGTTAACTATTACTCTGCAGGATGACTAAGTTTACAGAATGATTCCTGGAAATGAGAATGGCTTTGCATTTTGCAGACAACTGAGCCCTTCAAAAAAGGAACAGAAAACCACATCAGAGCAGCCATCAAGGAATTCCTGTCAATCCACATGCATATAGCCATACACACAAACACACACAAAGCCTTGTTATGTGTTCAGATTAAAGCTGGATAAAAACTAGCTATAGAGTTGTTACACATTTTCAAGTACTAACTGTACAGCTGCTTGGCTCTTTTTATGGCCGCATTGTCATTTCTGCTGTGTGATAATTACTTTGCACAGGCGGCTGGTCTAAATCTATTGTGCGATTAACCAGTTCATTGTGGAATATATATAATGTGTAGCTGGGGCCAAACACCCCCCCACACACATACTCACAATCTGAAGAAAACAGTGGTAACTGTCACCTTTCAGATTTCATCCACTGTAAAGGTCACAACAGGCTTTTCCTTTGCATAATTTAATAAAGATGCCTCCGTTGCACATCAGCGTTAACTTCTTGCCACTGAACGTGTGCAATTTAAGTGGGCCATCATCTCAGCTAGTATAAATGGTCGTAGTACTGGCTTCAAAGGAGCACTATTGCTTTACTCAATCTGAACATCATTGGGCTCCAAAGGTTTGATAGAGGCCTTCTTTGTTTTCAGCTTTTTGTTTCACAGCTGTAGAGACACAGTCCAAAATGTGTTTTTGTTAAATGGGCCAGCTCCTCAAGCATTGCAAGCCAGCACAGCTTCATTAACAATAACTTACACCATCTAAAGAGGTTGTTCACCAAGAGGATGACCAAATCCTCATTGATTTCATTCTGCTAATTAGAGCCTCAAGTGCCAGCCTCCCCCTGCTCCATGGAGATCCCAATGCCAGACAAAGCAAGGTGCTTCATCCTAGCAGGTGAGGAAGGCAGGTACTCACCAAAGCCTCCATGGTTCGGACAAATTTGTTGAACCTGACAACCCTCATTATAATGATTTAGGCAGGCACAGCTCCCTGAATACGAACAAGATGTCACTTGCGTGGGAGTTTTTTGCTGAGATGCCTCGGCTAAAACACTTTGTCAACACTTCTTTGCCTGCTGAAGGCTATTTTATTCACCCTTGAAGAGTCCAATTATGAAGGGGATAAAAAGTTTGAGCAACTGCCTGTGATGTTAAACGCAGTCGAAACGATCCAGCTGTTACTGAGTTGCCATGAAAGGCCTTTGTCTATCAGGTGTAATTCTTTCATTACACCAGCTCCCAGCGCTTTCCAAACACACAAGAAAGGAGGAGCCCTGCTCCAAGGACATCAGAGCAGAAGGAGAGAAGGAATGACAAAGGAGAGAGGGGAAAGAGGAGCAGTAACAAGCAGTTTGCACACAAGTCAGCTAGACGTACCGTCAGCAGCACCTTCGCTGTAGATCTCAGAGAGGGAGTCGGATATGGGCAGGAAAGAAGCCCAGCAGTTGAGTTTGGAAGGATGCACCGAACTCCTTGGGAAGACTGAGACTGAGTGCTGGTGGAGGAGGGGAGTGTGAAGCTCAAGTAAGCGGGGTAATGAGGCCAAGCCCGGCTGAAGCCCCAAGTGCCTGTTGGAAGTAGTTGGGGAGTAGGCCAAGTCATCCCTACAATAGACAGCAGACTATCTTGTTGCACCCCAGGCCTCTTACCCTGATGTTGGCTTGGACCTTGGCTTCTGACTCAGACCCTGCAACCCTGACTGCGTTCCTGACACAGCTTGTCCCTGGACTCTGCTTGCCTCCTGACTTGATCCTTGGCTTTGTCTTCTAGACCTTGCCCTCACCCCATAAGTGACCTACTCTGACCACCCAGACAGGGTGCTGCACAGAAAAGCACAAATTGACCCCCTCTGTCTGAGCTTATGTCATGCTTCTCACCAAACTGAGAGAGAACAAAAGTCCCCAAATGGCCTTCTCTACATCTCACCCTCTGTGGGTTTTCTTTTCTTACTGTTTCAACTCAGTACTACTCATCTGTTGGATTGCTCACATACAGAAATGGGGTCAGGCCTCTTTTATTTTCATTGCCTTTTGAATGAGATTTAGTGAGGCATCATTAAACAGCTGCAGAGGTGGCTGCCTTTTAGTGGTAGGCGTTGAAGTGATAAGTTGACATCTCACAAAAGACATTCGGTGGGAAAAGCTCTGGGGGAAAAATGTGTGACATTTTTATTCCAGTCCTTTCCCTTGGTGTGGGACCCAGCCGGAAAGATGATTTACCAACATGATTTACCAACTTGTTCCAACCTCCCAAGGTGACATCTCTAAACTGAAAATGGGAATTAGTGTTGAAAACAAACAAGAAAATAATTTAAAAAAAAATCTCACAAGTGGTAAATTAAAAGGCAGGAAACCAGAAAGTGTCTGTGACTGAATACTCTGCAGATTTAAAAACATTATGCACTTGCAACGCTGCTGATTGCAGTCCTTACACCGTCTCTCAGACAGCCTCACCTTCTCTAGGAACGAGTTGCTTTGTGAATGGACTGGGGGAGGGAAAGAACGTAATTGCTAGAAGAGGAGACGGAGGACTTCCAAAAAACCACTCAAGGAAACTCCACCCTCCTCTGGTTAAAATGGGATACCCTCCAGCTGGAGACGGAGACTAGCCTTTCTGTTGCTGCATGTGATTCATTAATTGCTGCAGATCTAGGTTAGCTGTGAATACCGAGTCCCCTTCCCTCCCTGCACCCCAGCTCGCCTCTTCAGAGAGTGTAGGTGACCTGCCACCATATTCCTCTGTGCACAAGCCACATTTTAAAAACAAAATATTTTTCTTCTACAAGCATCCTGCGTCTTAAATCTGAGTTAGAAAAAGAAAAAAAAAGCCAAGAAGCTCTTATATGGATCACAGAGGTTATAGCCTTGTAATTGTATCATTATTTGCTGGGGATTGGGGTTGCTGGATGCATCTTAAAAGTAAGGGCATTTTATATTTGGAGGGATATAGCATTTAAGGCCTCCCTCCTGTATGAAGACCCTGTGCCAGCGTGGGCCTCTGATGAATTCAAAGGGGATGACCGTGGGTGCGGTGGCCCACCTATATCCAAGAACTGGGTATCCAAGAACTAAGAATAGGAGGCAAAACTAGATGAGAAGGAAACCTGAATGACTAGAGGTACTTCCTACAAGAGAGCATCTTGGGTGGGCTGATTTCCAGGGGAAAGGAGTGGCCTCTGAGATCTGGACCAGCTCTTCCTGCCCGTTGTACTGTTTGCCAAACTTAATCTGCAAAGACCCACGTGGCAGCAGCTAGAGCGACGTCTACGGGGTGGGAGCACAGGTATGCTTGTGGCAATGGCCTGATCCTCAAGGGGGTTATTTCTTTCGTGAAAAGTTTCCTGATGTGCGGTATTGTTTGTAGATAGCAGAAGACATTATAAAAGGGAGATGACTGTGTGTGCTCAGTTGCCCTGTGCTGCATGATTTGGAACGGCTTGGCTCTGTCATGGGCCCTCCAGTGCACAGAGCCGATAGGCGACTTGCAACAGCTGGGAATCTGTTTTCAGTCGGGGAC